ATATTGTACAAGCCCTAGTCTACCGAGCTTTAAGCTGCGAAAATATTAGCATTCACTATATTTGAACAATGTGATGTATTCGTGCAATACATTTCGAACAATCTGATCAAACATTTACTTGCCAAGTCAATATATATTAAACCGAAGACTGGGGGGAGGGGGGACAAATACAATAGGGGATTGAAATTAAGAAAGATGAGAACACCAAGGTAGGTGTAGTGTAAGAACAAGGTGTTTTTGTGCACATAAGGTGGTTTAAATTTGTGTATGGCTATGGCTTCCGAAAATCTCAGAACACGTCCCTGACTGTTTCCATATAAAACTTTGAAAGTTGTTTGAACATTAACTTTGTGACCTGTTTCTATGATATGTTTAGCTATAGATGAAGAGGGTCGTCTCCCACCAACGTTTATCACTGTTTCACACTCCATTTGTTTTTGAAGCCATTTAGGCACATGTTCTCTCACCCTCAATTTCATGACTCGATTACTCCTCCCTATGTATGTGTGACCACACACACATGTAAATTGGTAAACACAATGGGATGTGACGTAATCACCGATGCAGTAATTAGGTTTTCTGGTGAAGCATGAGTTTTGTTTTCTCCACAATGGTAAGATTCCCCGTGTAATACGTTTTCTTAATATCTGATGTCTCAAAATGATACTATTTAGCTCCCCTCTGTATGTATGGTAGAGTGATACGGACATTTTTCTTAAGGACAGTGTATAGAGTTGGCTTTGATGCTACTTGACCTCTACAAAGGTTTATAAACTTCGTCGGATATCCATTTTCCATAAGTGCTTTGGTCAGTAGTTTGATGTCTTCATCCATCGCATCTGGTGCACTGATCCGATAGATCTTATTAAACAGGCATTTTACTAGACCTCGCCTTCATTGGACTGGACAAAAACTGTGGAAATTCATGTATTGTCTTGTCTATGTAGGCTTTCTGTAAACTGACCGTCTTATTGAACCATCTTCTCGTCGACTGAGGAGTATATCTAGGAATAGCAGTTGATTATTATTCTCTTTCTCACAAGTCAGGCTGATGTAAGTTTGTACGGCGTTAAGTCTATTTAGTAGACAAGCCATATCTTCATGCCTCTTACAAATCACTATGATCTCATCAACATATCTCTTGTAAAGAAGAACTTTAGCGATGAGATCACCAGCTAGATTTTCGATATACGATATTTAAATATCAGCTAGTAGTGGTCCTAATAGACTACCCATAGCTACACCGTCAACTTGTCGAAAGCGTTTTAAACAAAGGAAACAAAGAATACCAGAGAATTCATAGAAGTTGGGTTTTCAAGTGAACCAGCCATCTGTAGATGCTTAGACATTGACCTAGTCCATCAATTATTAAGAGAGATGACGAACATCCACAAGGTCGGATGTCAGGCCGAGAGACGGTCAATAGGATAATCCATCCCGTCAAAAGACACAGCAGTCAAAGGAAACTATCAATCATATCACCTCATTAGAACAGGCTGCTGAATAAAACATGAAAGAGTTTTGGTATATCACTTCACATAGTACACATTAGTACTGATGATGTTGTCTACATAGGCTATGATAGCTTCTTTATTTATTGAAACTTATCACTGCCTAAATTACGGTCGTAAACTAGATGGATTATTCTATCACGTGTTGTGAAACTATCTGTTTAATATATCTTAACGTATTCAGCATGCCAATGAACTAGCCGTTCTACAAAAAGCGTTAGTTTTCCTAGTTCTACTTAAGCCTACTGATGGAAAATGAAATAGTTTTGTTGTAGAGGATATTCACATCGACGCAATAGTCGACTGTTAGACTTCGAGTTTAGTCCGAAATACGACTAAAACTGTGAGTCAAGCGAATAATGGTCCACCTGTTTTTCGTGTTATGGAACACTGACTGATAAATCTGCAATAGAACAATTCATACAACGCCAAACGGTTTGATTTCATGTACTGGATTGTTCTTATTTCACTGAGAAGGGAAACTGAAGCCTTTAAGTGAAACTTGTAAATGATCACATTATGCTTAAGAATAAAGATTTACATATGTACTCCCGTATTTCGGTAATAAAAATTAAGAAAATGTGAATAATTAAAGTTTGTTATATTGTGAAAGAATAAGCAACAAGGAAGTCTGGCTGGCTAGCTGGCAACAAACCAACTATGAACCTATCACCCAATAAATATGCACAAGATAGTGGAGATGGATTGGACATACAATGAGAAGACCGATTGGAGACATCACGCATCAGGCCAGGTCGTCGAGTGGAATCCACAGGGGAGACGACGAGTTGGGCGTCCCAGCTGAGGATGATATAGAGGAGATCATGTGAAGAAGAAATGGAAGCTTGTGGGCAGTCGTGGCGCCAGGTTCAAAAGACTTCAGAGAAGAGAGAGGAATGGAGGCATGCTACTGAAGCCCTATTTTCCACCAAGAACCCAAGAGTAAAATAAATCAATAAATGTTATGAAAAGCATAACACATTTGATCTTTATATATCTTACCAATAAAATAAGCATAGAATCTAGGCAACACGATGAGATCTAATTCTACGCAATGTTAGTTTATGTGATATGGCATACAATGATAGAGCATTACTTATGAGAGACCAATTTAAGCACAGTTTATTGCTCATAAGCATACTTTGACACAATAAGGAGCAGTAAGCTGTATTCGATGAGTAATAATATGTCAATTTTAGCTATACGATAAAGGCTTACCTAGTGTACAATTGTCATTGAACCGCTCAGTAACTCCAGTTTCACTTTTGATCATCATTTGATATTTGATCGGTTACAGGCTATAGAAATACTGAAAACTGTAAATGAACTAAGCAGATATCACCTTGAAATCATAAACCTCCTCACAAACATAAGAACAAAACTTACTATCAAGAATCGTATGACACGACTGGACTTGAGATATAAAGTTGTTTTCATCATCAAGAAAATTGTTGGAATAAACACACAAAAAAAACTCCTGGGATGATTGATAAGCATTTTCCACTATGAGATATGCTGAAGAATGTACCTGAGGAGAATGATTTTGAAGGTGTTGTGTTCTCTGAGTTGAATAGTTTAATCATGAAGCCTTTATCATTATTATTGATTAGAATAACAATCATGACTTCACGGTTAAGCCAACCAGCTCAGAGAATACAAAATCACCAAAAGTTTGCATTATTTTGAATGTTTGCAAAGAAGAAAAAACGAAAGCTTAAAAATTCGTTCAACCTACTTTTAATCTTTGCTAACATCAGATAAATCAGCTAGGTAGTAACACTTGTCTTAGACCACCCTAACAACTACACAAGCTTACTTCCTTCGTTTAAATGTTATTTCTTGTTAAATTATTCGATCTTATATGTTTTCTCAGTCGGTGAAAGAAACAAACTGTTCACGTTCACGTTATGATAACTTACTTGGTTGTGGCTAGCTGAGGAATCCAGAAAGAAACGCGCATCTTCGATTCCTTTGCTAGCCACAACTAAGTAAATTATCACAAATATTTAGGCAATATCGAGGTATTCGTATAGAAGCCCATATGCCAACAGATGTCGAACAATTCGATCCAATAAAACAACAGAGAATTACAAGCATATCAATTGATAGTAATGTTCATGTTGATTAGCGACTGGCATTTCGACATAGGGTTTTGATGTAGTAGTAGTTTTTTTCAATGGAAATTTACCTCAACGAGACAATTTGAGTGAAAATAAACAGCTTCCTGTGAACGGGAACAACTCTAGCTACTTCATTATACTCTCTAATCGTCAAGAAAGGAAATCACTTCCGAATCCTTGGTGAACTAAGCACACTCCACTCTATTCCAAAGTAAAAACCATCACAGTTTAATCATACTAGCCAATTCTAACTGGGTTTGAAACTAAATTATGCACATGAGATTGTAAGCGGATGGTGGCCGATGTAACTATCAAGTCATTAGTGTTCAGTGTAGGATATCAAATTAAGTGGCCATGTTTGATATTCGAAAAAAGTCAATCAATACTAAGAACTTAGGAACATACAACTCTATTGGTTACCTTTTGATAACCAATTGGTGCATACCAAACTGATTTCCAAAACTTTTTCGCTTAGTTAACACTATAATTGTCTAAATAAACCATGATGGTGTAAATCTTTCGTCGTAATATGAATAAATTTAGAAAGAAAAATATTTCCACACAACAGTCAGCTTTTTAAAAGTGTTATGGTAATATTTCAAGCAAAATCAAATGAATAGTTGAAATATTTATTTCGTCAGGATCTAGTTATTCAGTGACTGACCACGATCCATAGAAATAGCCACAGAAATAGCTTTTACAAATCATTGTCTGTAAGCCACCAATCCTATTGTTATCGAAATGATGTAGTTAAAATGACAATAAGAAATATCAATAAATTATTATTATTATTATTATTATGAAAGCTCTCGAGCTCACGCAGGTGTGTAAAGGCTTTTGGAGATATATCATCATAAATGACGACAACTCTATGGTAACTTGAAGCGATGCACTTGTGTGCGAGGTTGTACGTCGATCTTGTCTGTCAATATAAAATAAACTCTGCGACCTATGACTGTAAGGTATCACAAACCTAAATTCTTCTTTGATTTTGTGTGTCTGAGTTATGGATTTACATCTTAATGGATACATTTTAATTCCAACCACATTCCTTATACTTGCAGTCCTAATAACCATAACTTTCGTCATACTGTACACTGGCTGCTTCATCATAACATTCATGGACAGTTGTACAGCCTGAGGGCAAGTCAGTGAAAAAACCTGTTCACTCAAACAATTTTCATTTTGAAAACCTTTTGTTAATATAGTATATAAACTTAGAAAATATTTTTTGAATATGTACAAGACTGTGCAAAATTAGCACCAAGTTCTCCTAAAGTATACATAGAATAAACATATTAAATTCACCGTAAACATATCACGTTCGAAAAGAAACTGTGTGTATGTACATGAGAATGGAGTGTGATAATTATTGTCTGACTAAGTGTCTAACTCTCGGTGGACTAGGAGGCTCAACTTTAACTGGAACTTTACGTGGTGGGGAAGGACTTGGGTTACGCATGCGCATCGGGGAATCCCTCCTACTGGAATACTCCTTTTTTGTCTCCGAATGTGGTTCTCTGTTCTCTCTAGACCTTGGCTCTCTCTCTTCCCCGCGTCTTTGTTGTCGAGCATTTCTTGACCTTGAATCTCGATTACATTGATGTCTCATCCGCTCATCGTTTCTCCTTTGAATCGCTTCAAGACGCTTTTTCTCCTCCTCCTTTTGTTCCTGCTGGATTTTTTTAAGCTGCTTCATAACTTCAGGACCACACCCGTGCTCTTTGACAAACTCAGAGACCGAATCTGTCGGTCGCCGAAATTCAGCTTTCTTATCCGAATGTCGAACGTCAAGCGTTCCTTCTTTCGGTACGCGATATTTCTCCACATGGTCCACACGAATTGTTCTACCGGCCAGTTTTATCCCATTCAAATTATCTGTGGCTAGCACAGTACTTCTCTGATCCTCATAACACAAAAATGCAAAGCCCTTTGACACTCCTGTCTTTTTGTCCCGAACCAAATTAATATTTACAATCTCTCCATACTGAGAAAATACGCATATAACATCGCCTTCAGTAAGATCATAATGCAGGCCGCCAACATAGACCCAAGCTGAATCTTTATACTGTCTGTGCCAACTGCTTACTGTCCCCGTATGACCGAGGAACAACTCCTTCTCATTCATTAAATTCTGGTTCTTAGCATTTGTTATTGGATTCATTGTTCTACTATTTATCTAAATCTGAAGTAATCCAAAAAAACAAAACAGTACACTAAAATACTGGCACATTACTCTAAAAAAATAACACCAGAACATGTGGCTAAGAGATTCAATAAAAAATCATTCATTGTCTACCCTTGGTCTCAGCTCAAGATATGTTTGTAGACTGCTGTATCACGGCATGCGACAATCAAGTTACTTTACAGTATGAGATATTTATTCTATTTAGGCAAAACTGGTTGATGAGCTTTCATACTTAATTTTGAAAGTATCAAAAACAGATAGACATAAACTATCCAAGACATGACACACCTGCAACATTCAATACCAAATCACCAAAGGAGAGTCAAACGGAAAAGGACAGTGAAATGAAAATAATACTATAAGTAGTTAAAAAAAAGTCATAAACTCTAAATAAAAGGAGATAGAGACATATGATATCACTTAGATAGGTGCAACTAGCTGTTGAATCTGAACCACCAACGGTCCGAGTTTTCGAAGTAATGGGCATAAACAGTTGCAGACGCTTGGTGATATTGCTGAAAATCGGTCACAATCGGGCGTACTTATTCACTATTTGACATCTTCGGAAGTTTGAACATTTCCAACAGCCTTCATCTTCAAGTTCTTTCTCCTCCGATATACTATTGCTTACTTTGATATCATTCTTTCTTTACCCACTTGTTCTTTGTATGCTGCAGTAAAATGTGACAACTTGAATCAACGCACTTCTGTGGCAGGCTATACGTTGGTTTTGTCTGTCACTTACAGACCCAAACCGAAAATGCCATACTATCCGAAGCAGATCACACCAACAGTCGGTGACATTTCATTTTGATAGTATACCTTAGTATGTCTTTCTTTAGCTTTCAGCTAGTCTGATTCTATTTCAGCTGACTTTACACGCTGAGTCACACGGTGGTCGAAATGCATAACATACTTCCAAATCATCTCAATCAATGAGAGGTCATAATTTCACCAACTGATCGATTTCGCTTTATTTAAGAAAAATATAGTCCTTCGGCGTTAAAGGCGTATGTAGATAGCTATGAAATATACTTTTTGTGCGACAGTTCACGATACTGTCCAGTTGTGCAGAATGAAGTAGGTGGAGTGGGACTCTAACCCAGGACCTATAGCTGAAAGTTGAATACTTAAGTTGATAAGCCAAAGTCCACTACTTCCACTACTATTTAAATATCTAGGCTTGACATTTCCTATATAATGTAATGGCCTTATCAAATGCTAGGTGCATGCAATTTGAGCAGTTACTCAGTGTTCTACCCATCGTTCAAAACATTTGCTCTCGCGCGTTGTTAAATGCCTGACTCTACCGATCATGGCTTAAGTAACCACCATTTCCTGTGTGTCGATCAATTTTAATACTTCCTAACTATTTTCCAATGTAAACATCGTCACCTAACACACTACTGATGGTAACTAAGATAGCTCATCTATTCCACCCTCAGATGGATAGAAGCCAGGTAGAAGGAATCTCTAAGCATCAGTTACTTCATAAGACAATTTAAACGCACATACTTTTTGAGGCTTTTAGTTAGTTGTCATCTGTCTTTACCTTAAGAACACGTTCAGTCCTCCATCTTCAAAATCAGCAAACCCGAGGCCTGTTGGTTGTATCCTTCCTACAAACGTTTTCTGATAAAAGCAGTCACATGCATGTCCAAAAATTCCCCACTAATCATTCACAAAGATGGCTAGTGATCATAAAATTCATTTACATCCATAGTTGACTCGATTCTAGCAGCTGTTTAATCAGACAATCATCTTCTGATTCAAGCTAGTACCAGACAGAATGAAGCAGGTGTTGGGATAAATCTTCAGCATACGATATAGAAAACAGTTATGACATGTCTTTGTGCTTCCTGACATAGCTTCGTCAAAAACCCACTTGTTATTCCTTGACATTATCACATCTAAAGTCATGAGTTTCGTGCAACAAACAAGACCGACAGTACACAGAACGTATATTTTACAGCGTTAGAACTGTCATTAGAAGGTATGCATAGATTACTAAAAGATATGCTATGTAAGAAAACCAATACTCCGTGTGGTAATTCGCTTCATGGATTTAACCAGTTGATCAGTACACACACAGTACACTGCGTTGTGAAAACTGATTCTTATCGGTTCGTTTAGTATACAGAACACAACCCATCACCAATACCCAGCAAAGATGCTCTTCCTAACAATCACACTGATGCTATTTTAGCAGACTCAAGTAGAAACTTGGGAGAGCTTTGTCCTCACTAAAAGAATATCTTTCCCCTCAGAGCTTCGTTGCTCAAAAAAGTACGATTAGAACAGTTCAGCAATCGAAACAAATACAAAAAAACTATGCCAGTATGAAGAAACCCGTTATCGTAAGCTTTTATCCACTGCAGGTTGTTTGGGGATAGAAGTAGCAATTACGATATTTTCGGCCCTTATAATGTACTTCGGACAATAGTTGTAATACCAGCACACCTCAATAACCTAATTTATGGAGACCCTCTTAATTGCTTTAATTACCTAAAAAGTTAGACAACATATGAGTGAATCAACGCCAGTATGGGACCCGGAAATACTGCTTGATGATCCAAGTTGCCACACTTCAAATCAGCAAGTCAACATATATGGGACACTAAGATGAAAACGAGATGAGGGAGAGATTAATCAAAAGAAGAGTCAAAAGGTGAGAGGAGAACAAGAAAGAGATAATGAAACTCAGTGTGACGACTAAGATGGTGAGGGTACGAATCTGTCTATTGACGTCATCAATTTCGAACCACATCACCCAAAGTGTCCAAATGTCGACTACAGTTGTCAAATGAACTTAAAGTGAGAAGTCCACATTCCTCTTCGCGTTTCACAACAACAGCCAAAGACTTTAATGATTAATGTCATGTTTTAGAGTGGTCACCTCTAACGTTTTCTAGCATAAAACTACTTCAGCTAACATTGTGTGATGAGGCAGACGGTAACTAGCCATGTGTAACACAAGTCTCAGCCACCAAACTCTATGAAGGTTCACAACCTTATCAACTGACTTCCGTTTTCTCCCTAAAACGCTGCGAATGACATCCATGTTACTGATGTGGTAACACCACAAAACGCGGCTTGTGTTACGAACACAATCATGGTCAAGCACCTAAAGCCTCACAAAGCCCTTTACTCTTAATGACCATGTTTTACAACCACAGAAAAGAACAGAGTGAAATCTAATGCAAAACACCCGGCACTCCCGAACGATAGCTGTAACCTTGACGTAGTGGTCGCACTTGTATATCACTACGATCCGAAGAGCTACATTTGCCGGAACGCTTGCTCCATCGAGGTTCTGCTATGCCATAAAAGTTTGTTGAATAGTGGTAAGACAAATAGCAGCTACCATTAGAGTATAAATTCCTATGCTATGATAAGTCTGACGACGCTTCAAGGTGAACTAGCCTTCCACGGGGGCAGGGGGAAAGTGTCAACCACCCCAATGCTTGCAGTAGTTTACAAGACCCAATCAAACAACTTATCCACCTCAACTCTATCGCCTCCTTCGCTTTCACCTCCTGATACTAACATTAAACTCCTCACAACTCCAAACTCACACTCTGCGACCACTTCCAACGATCAAAACAATCGAAACCTAATTCCTAGTTACCCAACAACCCACCATCGATTTCATATTGCAGCTTTCAAAGTCTCAACTCTATGCCACATTAGATACCAGGCATCACTCAGTAGAACTGTGAAATCTCTAGCCATGGATGTATTCTGTTTCGGAGACACGTGCACACCAGTTAAGTGTGGCCATGGTAATGAATCTGCAAGATTCACATTACAAGTATCAGGAGATTCAGCAGCTACCCCTCGCAGACTGTCATTGGCACTGAGTTGTAAAGCAGAAAACGAACTTCTTGACTGGATACCAGTCAACAGCCGTCTATGTGCTGCTCGACTAAATGCATCAGGAAGAACTATGGAGAATTGTGAGACTAGGCAATGTCTATTCGTAATCTACGCTCAACCACCCACCAACTGCAGTTTGGATGTTGCAAAGGATAACTTCTATGGGAAGCTATCAATTTTCCAGAAGAAAGCGAAACGTTCACACAAAGTCATACAGGCAGGTGACTGAGAAGCTCGTGTATGGAGGCTGAGCCAATCGGAAGGGTATATTAAAGGCATTTACGGAATCCCGTGCAAACGAACCTACAACGGTGATTGTGTTGCAATTTTGTCCTGACAATCACTTGTTTCTGGTCGACACTAACATTAGGTATAAGAAGAAACACTGTCCCACATGGCGCTTGCCGACGTCAAACCAACGATGGACACAAATCAATCGTACCGATAAAAGCCCTCGTTGAAGGTTTCCTGATCTATATCGTGAACCTGTTTGAATTCTGACCAATCATGAGTACTCTCGAGTGTATGAGTGTGCTTTGCTAGGCATGGAAAATAGGCGATATTAAAACCTGTGTCACCATCATCAAAGCCAATACAGGACCAGACACTACTGTGTAACGGTCAAAGTTGACACATCTCACATCAAGTAACAAGGCAATAAAATGAAAGATGAAGAAAGAGAATAAGTCGTCAAAAGATGTAGGAAACAGTCAAAAGGATAGAGAGAGAGGAAGAATGAGCAAGTGGTAAGATTAAGTATAGCGCTTAGGATAAGGATAATGAGTGCATACATCTCTGCCACTGACATTCCCAACAATATCACTTAGATTCTCCGACCACTGGTTTCTCATGTCCCGTGAACTCCAACCGGCTAGTCTGTATCGCTCTACATGGCTAAAACCAACAGTCAACGACTTCATGCATTCATCCCATGTTTTAGTCTGGTAGCCTCGAGCCTTTTTCTAGCCTGAACCTACTTCGGCCAACATCGTGCGACGAGGCAGACAGTGGTTAGGCATACGTAACACATGTCCCAGTCAGCCATCTCAGTCAATGAAGGTTCACAATCACATCAACTGACTTACCTCTCCTCCTCAAAA